AAATCATCCAGCGAGCGCCCGCCCCGCCGGAAGTCATCCAGCGAACTACCACCCCTCTGGAAGGCGGAGAACTTCTTCCGGGTCACCAGTTGCTTGGCAACCACGCAGCGACGCAGCTCCCTCTAGCGGCAAGTTAGGAATTGCCAGCCCACCGCTGTAAGGGCAAGAGGGTTATCTTTCAGAAGCTGGAAACCCCTTCATGGGAGCGACTGTAAAAAGTAGATAAAGCCATCACCGAGGAAGGAGACACAAAGCTGCAGGGATTAGGAAACCAAAGCAGAAAAGCGGGGTTCAGGATCACTTGGGTGCCCTCGGTAAATAAGGAAAGAAGTGGACAGGAAATGGGAAGATCCTCATGGTCCAGAGAGTCCTATCCCAAAGATGCAAACCTAGTATAGAATCTCAAATCTCATAATACGATGTTTAAAAAAAAAAAAGTGAATTCAATTTTAATAATATATGTTATTTTACCCAGTACATTCAAAATATTATCATTTCACATGTAATCAACAGAAAAACTATTAATGGAACGCTTTACCTTTTTTTAATAAGCCTTTTAAATCATGTGTGTATTTTACATTTGCAACATCTTGCAATCCAGGAGCTAAATTGTCATAAGAAATAATGTTCTGGCCGTGGCCGGTGTGGCTCAGTTGGTTGACATCGTCCCATGCACCAAGAGGTCACTGGTTTGATTCCCTGTCAGGGCTCAGGTCCAGGTTGTGGAGGGCTGGATCCAGTAAGGGGTGTGTGGCAGCCAATGGATATTTCTCCCTTTCTTTCCCTCTCCCTTCCTCTCCCTGAAAAAAGAAATAAAAGTAAAAAAAGAAATACTTGTTCGGTATTTAGATTTCATAAAATTTATATGTAAAATGTATGGTTAAAAAGTAGATCACATACCCAAATAGTTCCAATCATGCTGAGTATTCAAATAATGGAACATCAGTTTTTAAATTTAAAGTTAAAAATGTCATTCATCAGTGGCACTAGCCACACTTCCAGTACTCACACAACAGCCCCATGGGTAGTGTTTGTCACCATGTTGATTGCCCAGGTACAGAGGCTAAGAAATGAACATGTTCTACCCATTCTTGAAAGTTCTTTCTCCTCACCCCCTTTCTAAGCAACTACTGAGGTTGTTTTGAGGGGTAGGTTGCACAAGTCAAACCAACCCAAAGGGACTCCTCAAGAATAAATCTCACTTCTAAGGCCCTAAAGTCTCTAACTGCTCTGGGGCCCAAGTTGGTTCTTAGGAATCTCTTCAGCAGGCCCCTGCCCAGACATGTGGCCCAGGCATGGAAGGAGGAGAGAGCAGACAGTTGGGGAAGTAGGTAGGCTCATAAGAAGGATGTCCCAAGGTCCAAGGTCAGCTCCAGACATTGTTTCCAAAACCTCAACAATATAGGCATGTGAGTGTAAGCATACGTGTAAAAGTTCTGGGACTACAAACTCATGCCCACAGGTACTACAGATGCACCAGGAGGGCAGAATGTGGCTTTATGAGCTCAGCTTCTGCCTGCCAGGTGTTTAAACAGGGGGAAAATAGAGGCAATTTCATATCCACAAAGCTGAATGTGCCACAATAAATGAAGGTTAAAGGATAATGTTTAGAAAAGGTAAAATTATTATTCTCATGCAAATATAAAACGAACATTTGTCAAAGATTTTAATTCTTTATTCAATGAAAGGACCAGTAAGATGTTACAGCCTGTTTAAAGGAGAATTTAAAATGCACAAGGCAATATGATTGCTGTCATACATTTAAAAATAGTGTAAAGCTTGTCAGTATCCACAGAGCAGTAATCTATTGCATCTAATGGACACACATGAAGCATTTATATTTCTATGGACAAAAATCATTTTCATTACTGTCAATTTTTACAGCTTACAGTTTTGTAAAATAGGCCAAAAATAATAAAAAACAGAGTTACCTAGTCGTTTTTTTTTTGTTTTTTTTTTTTTTCATTTTAAAATGTCTCAAAAATTTTTTCCTGGCATGAACTAATATTAATTTGAATTTTGTTACTTGTGAAGTTTTGATGATTTTTATAATTTTAATTTTAATTTATTAGCACTATAAAATGGAAGTTTATGACTATTCTGTTTGTACCTATTTAAGTAATGGTATCATAAGAGCAATTTTGATTTTTAAAAACCACTGTGGATTTAATACAAAGGCAACTCTCAGCCCCTTCAGGAAATGGATGCTGTGGGCTACCAGTTTGCAAACCACTGATAGAAATTTTGATTCGGAATCATCACTTCCAGCCACAGATCAAAACCCTACAGTAGCTATATGCAATGGCAATGTGTGCCAGGCCATGGGAAACGTGGAGGAAGTTAGAGAGAACATCCTGGAAACACAAGCTGGATCCCCTTTCTCTCCCTGTTTATATACTTACTTTTAAACTCTTGTCAGTTTCCACTGCTGAACACCTGAACACCTCAGAGAAATTAGCATCTAGAAGGGTGCCTGGCAGGTGCTCAGTAAATATCAGTTGAATGAAAGGTGACATACAGGTCACACAGAAAATCACGCCAGCCTTAGTAGTTTATAAACAGGTATTCAGGTGATCAGCTAACTTATTTCACTGTGCCTCCGTTTCTGAAAATGGTACATAATAATAATATTCATCTCATTGTATTGTTATGAGGATTAAATAAGCTAATATGTGTAAAGCACTCGGAACAGGGCTTGCCATTTAAGTGTTTGTAAAAGAAAATAAATAAAATGAAGTATTTTGCATTTTGAAAGATTGAAACTTTGAAATGTAGAGAGTGGGAGAGACGAACCCTGGGCCGTGGCACCCTTGGCAGTCACTGCAGGAGCGCTGGCACGTGGTCCGGCCTGGTGAGCAGCTCTTTCGAGATGGACAGGTCCTTGGAAGCCGCCTCCCTTTCTCTTATTGTCTTGCTCCACCCAGAAAAGCCGACATGTCAGCATGACTCGTTTATTTTCTTTTAAAGACCTGATAGGGCCCTACATTTTTAAAAAAGTATTTGTTGTTTAATGAAAGTGATATAGGCACATTATTTAGAAAATTGAAGACTTGTAGAAATGTACAAAGAAGAAAGCAACAAATCACTAAAAATTCTACCACCCAGGAATAAACCATGTTAACGCTGGAAGAATTTCAGACATGTTTTTATGTAGTTTTAGGGGAGTAAGAAAAACACTCTTATTTAAAAGAGGCTCAGATTATACATGCTAATATTAAATATAACTGTATTTAATTTTGTAAAATAACAGACTAAAAGAGAACTGGCTTAATACTAAAGCGATTGTTGAGAACTAGATGGGTACCTAAAGCTTTCCTTTAACGTTTAAGTATATATTTCATTACCTCATATATATTAAATATTGTTTCAACATTTTAAGGAAAATCATAGAGGTTGGAATTGTATTTTTTGTAATAATTTTAATTTAGTTACTGATACAGCTCCTAGGGCAATGGAAACTAAGAAGAAAAAAAACGAATGGGACTACATCAAAATAAAAAGCTTCTGCACAGCAAAAAAAACCATCAACAAAACAACAAGAAAGCCCACTGCATGGGAGAACATATTTGCCAATGTTATCTCCGATAAGGGTTTAATCTCCAACATTTAAAGGGAACTCATACGATTCTCTTCTTTCTCTTTGGTGCATTGGGTTCCTGGCTCTCCTGTAGCGAGGGATATGCTCCCCTGCACCCCCTTGGCTTATGACCATATGGGACTCCATACATGGACTAATGGACTTTAATTAGCTTGGATGTTAAACCACACCTGGCTGCAAAATGGAATGGAAGCTCTGGACACTGGCCTGCTTTTGACTCTCCTGGAACCCAGATGTACCTTTCCCAGGACTGGTTCAAGGGGCATGGAACTTTGGAACCTGAGACAAAGAAGCTACACTGGCAAACCACTTGGGCCCCCTCCCTGCTGCAGGGAGTCCATCCATCTCTCAATATAACTTTGCTTCTGCTTACCATCTTTGCCCATGAAATCATTCTTTGATTTTGCAAGACAGCGAACTTGAACCTGATCATAGCACTTTGGTTTCACTATTAGTTATAAAAAATATTAATCATCCCGAGCCAGTTTGGCTCAGTGGACAGAGCATCAGCCTGTGGACTGAAGGGTCCTGGGTTCGATTCTAGTCAACGGCACATGCCAGGGTTGATCCCCAGTAGGGGGCGTGCAGGAGGCAGCCGATCAATGATTCTCTCTCAACATTGATGTTTCTATCTCTCTCTCCCTCTCCATTCCTCTCTGAAATAAATAAAAATATATTTAGTATGGTGTAAGTTGGTGGTCTAGTTTCATTTTTTTGCATGTATCTGTCCAATTTTCCCAACACCATTTATTGAAGAGACTGTCTTGACTCCATTGTATGCTCTTGCCTCCTTTGTCAAATATTTACTGAGCATAATGGCTTGGATCAATTTCTGGGTTCCCTGTTCTATTCCATTGGTCTATATGCCTCAAAAAATTAAAAATGGAACTCCCATTCGACCCAGTAATCCCACTTCT